GAAAAACAGAAGAAAAGACAGGAGAACAGAGAGAAAGACAGACTGAAGGAAAGATAAAGTGAAAAGATTGAAGGGGGAAGAAGGAAGGAAGGAAAGATCCTAAATAATTGGAAACCACTCAGAGAAACACCACAGCTAAGGATGCTGTTAATCCCGCCTAACTCTTCTAGTGAGGAAGGTGCTTATTAACAGTTGCAGACAAATATATATGCATCATCAGAGATAATCATAAGATTATCTTTTCAGGGTTCTTGGGCATGTGTGTTCTGTGGGGTTGGATTATTGAAGGATAAGCTTCTTGAAAGGGTGTCTAGCAGGTGGTGACCTGTGTGATGTGACTAGCAGAAAGATTCTGGGATAGATAAAAATGAAGCTCATTACTGCCTGCTGAAAAAAATAGTCTATTTTCTAGGCCATATAACAAATGCCCTACTCATAGGCTGTGAGAGGCACTCAGGCCCTGGGGCATTGCTGATGACTCAGGCAGAAGCCTTCTTTGGGAAGGAATTACATTAGTGACCCACTAGAATGTAAGCTACATGGGGGCATGGACTCCATCTGCTTTTCCACTGTTGTATCTCCAGAGCCTAGAATATCTGGCATCTGGCATATGATTTGCACTCAATAAATATTTGTTGAATGCATGCATGAATTAGTGGGAGTGTGATCCATTCCACACTGTAAGTATTCATTTTTCCAAGTTTTGTTGCTTTTATGTTATGTAAGGGCTTCATGCCTTACATAGCATGCATTATCACAATCCCCAAATGAGTAAAATAAGATATTCATGAGCATGATCACAAGCAAAAACCAATTTACCTTTGAGGAGAGGCGTGACATGGTCTTATCATCCCCGAACAAGAAAGTTGCAGAGTTACGAGAGCCAAGAGACAAGGAAAGTCAATGCAAACTCTGTGGAAACCTTAATGAAACTCTTCTGCACAGCTAGTGAATTGCTCTCAGGTGGCTGATGTGATGAGTAACGATTCTGAAGGTTCATCCAGAAGGAGAGAAATGATGCATATCTGGATGCTAGTCACTACACCTTCTCTAGCTGGAACTTCACCACTCTGTTGTTCCCTGGATTCTTAACAGAGAGCCCAGCAACAGAGGCAGGGCCATTGTTCACTGGTGCCATCCTGGTGCTGATATCTGGTTTGTCTTTGGAGACTGAGAGGAATTTGGTTAACCTCTCCACTGGCCTCACCCAAGTTCACATGCTTCATGTTTTGTTTGCAAAACTCATACCTGAAATATTCTATTAAACAAAAGGATGAAGCCAAGTCTTCGAAGCATCAGACTTGAACCAGTCCCTGTCCAAAAGTCAAGAGAGCACTGAATGTGTCTATCATATTTGCAGTTTTGTTCTTCCTTACTCCACCTGAGTCTAGGACTGTGAAACCTCCACCACCACTACTGCCCCCACACACTAGGCACCATCCCCTTAACTCCCAAGGGTGAAAGAGCTTCCTGCCTCTTATGCCAGTGCTCCTCAGCACCAGAAGTTGAGCCTCTGCTTTCAAGTAAATTGTCATATCCTTGGTAGTTGAAAATAACCCTGAAAAGAAAAATTCACACACAGCAAAAAGATGCAGCCTTGCTCCTTAGAGATCCAACTGAAACACCACGGTCATTGTCAGCAGATTTTTAAAAAGGCATCTGTCTTTTTTTCAACCCCCTTCCAACTTCTTACCCTAGTGCTTCTGAAGGGTAGCTAAAGCTCTGAGAATTTTCTCAGATTGGGGAACACAGACTGCCTTTCAAAGTACCCCTCAGCTCACTCTCTACTTCAATAAGTGAGATAGGCAATCCGGGGGCCATACCATCTGGGTAATTGGAGTCGAATCCAGAAAGGTATGCCAAATGGTTCTCCAACTTTGCCCCCCAAAATGTAGCCCTAGAAGTCACTGAATTTACCAAACAATACCCATCCCAATGCAGACATGCTGCTCCTCAGACTGAGATTTCAGGGAGCCTGCTTGTCAGCAGGGCACAGTTGCAATTTTCCCTGCATAGGGCTGAAATGTGACAGACTCTTTTCTGGAATGAAACACTTGCGAAAATGTGCTTAATCCATTTTCAGCAGCTTGGTAGTTTTTTCATGACAAAATAATATCTTTCATTCGGAAAAACATTTTGCCTATTGTAGCTTCTACACAACTTCAGCACTGCAAGAGAGCCAGTTCTTGGGTGAGTATGGCAGCCAGGTGCAAAACAGGAAAAGGGTGCGATACATTTTGGGACATGACAATGCATATGCTCCACAGTTTAGTGATGAGAAAAGACAAAGGTTGTGGGGCGAGGCTCAACACAACTTTGTATCCTTCCCACAGCAGAAAATGCTGAGTTCATCTTTGGAGAGTGTCGCTTCCTGTTGTTACAGGGAACTCTTCCAATTCACACCTCTCCTGCTGCTTGTGAAGGCCTAGTGCAGCTTACCCAGTTCTTTACCTCCCTTTCTCCCTTCTATACCCCAGGAGCCTGCTTCCAGCACCCTAGGAAAGCTGTATCTCTTCATCATGTCAGCCAGACATTTGATCATAGCTACAGCCTCTCACAAGAAGGGATCTTTCCTCCCATGAAGCTGACCCTGCTATGATCTCAGCACTCAGAGATCCAATCTGGCACACAGGAGGTGGGACCCAAGACAATGGACAGGTTCCCAGGGGCCTATGCCTTCCATTGGCTAAGAATTCCAGATGACGGAGTGTAAGGCCGCAGACCTAAGGGACAAGGGAATAAAAACTGCTTTCTCATTTTTCCTTATTACCATTACCTCATGCTGGCCTCTCTCTGTGTGTCAAACTTCTTGTTTGACAGAGAGAGATGCAGAGGCACTGAGCTTGAGGAAATATTCCTGCCCAGGATGCATCTTTTAACAAATGTTCACTTATTGCCTATAGTGTGCTGGGGATTTGGTGGATGATGTGTCTCTGCTCTTCAGGGAGCTCGAGATAGTAGGGGAGACAGGCAAGTAATCTGGTAATGTGACAGTGTGACAGAATGCTGCGAAGGTGAGCGTCCTGTGGGAACACATTGGAGAGTCTCCTATCCTAGACCCAAGGGACATGGGGGCAGCTCCGGAAGTCTTCCTTGACAAAATGACAACAAGACTCAGTCCAGAAGGGTAAGAGTGGAGGGAAAAGTACTTTGGATAAAGGGAACAACATACAAAAACAGCAGGAAGCTGGAAAGACAGAACAGGCAACTCTAGATGCATCAGTGGGACAAGCAGAGTGACCAACCTTGGGCTGCAGCCTGAGAGCAATGGGGAACTGTTGAAGGAGGAGAAGTGACATGATGAGTTTGCCAGAGGAAGTGAGTTGCACAGAGGAGACAAGAGCCACCCCCTCCCCGCCCCAGCAAGGAGCTCTGCCCTGGGAGGTTCTGTAAGGCTCAGTTCCTGCCCGTGGAGTGGGGATCATGATGCTTAAAGGAAACAAGGAGAGGGGGTGAGCAGGTGAAAAGGCAGCTAAAGACGTTTTAGGATATTTTACATTTACTGACCATATAGGCATTATTTGAGACTTGTAATGTTCTCAGTCCGAACTCCAAAATCTCAGCTCCCCTGTCAATATTTCAGTGTGTATTTAAAATTCTCTTCTTACCCTTTCATTTATGATTTGAAAATTTCTCTTCCTTAATAATAACACAGCCAAAAGGGAGCTGCTGCACAGGTTCCACCCATGCCTGCCTCATTATTAATCCTTCCATATAGCCAACAGGCCATGTGGAGGAGCTTCCAATCCCCTCAAACCTTCTCTGGCAAGGTTGAGGAGGCCGCAGTCAGCTGCGGGATTGACCCTCGGAAGGTGGCACAGACCCCTCCCCACAGCATGCAATCAGAACTCCCCAGAGCTGGAGGGAGAGTTCCCCCTGAGGGAGAAATGAAAACCTTTGGCTTCTCACTGTTGTTGTTTTGGAGGAGAGTGTGAGAGAGTGAAGATACAGGGGAGGTGGAAAGAGAAAACCGGGGATGGAGAGAAAGTGAGGAAGAAAGAAGAAAGGGAGACAGACACAGAAAGTGAGACGCAGGGAAGAAACAGCAAGGAAGATTGGAGATGGAGATGGACAGAGGGTCTATGAAGGAAAACTTCAGGGAGAAGGGGAGGAAGAGAGGAGTAGAGTGAAAAAAAGAACATAGAGCGAGAGGAAATGGGGGAGGGGAGAAGTCTCAGAGGTGTTTAGATAACACACTGGAACTTTTGAGGAAGGATCAGGCAGGAGAAAATGGAGCTTCCAAAGCACCTGGTTGCTGTAAGCAAATGTGCAGGAGGCAAGGGAGGAGGCCAGCCCACCCCTCTGCCTCTGTCCTCCATCCAGGGCTGAGGGCCGCTAGGTCACTGCTCTTGACCAGCTGCGATTCCTCTGAAGCCTGCAAAGCCTAATGTGTCCCAGCCCTGCTCTGCATCTCTGTCCCTTCCCATGAGCCAGGCTGGGGAAGGAGAGTCTGGGAGGAGGAATTCTGAGAGCTATAGAGGACCCTGAGAGACGACCTGAGGGAGGAAAGCAGGCAGGGGAATGGCTGCACAACTACAAGGGTGAAGTGGGATGGGGGCAGGTAGACAGACGAACAGACAGACAGACTGCACCTGAGGAGGGTTCCCAAGTTCCTCTGTATCATGCATCCTCTGTGCCTCTGTCCAGAGAGTTGGGGGAAAGCTGTCCCTACCCTCAGCCTCTTCACTTTCTCTCTAACCTGAAGCTGTCAGCTTGAGAATACCTGGTGGCGCTGCCTAAACTCTCTCAGGTCTTTTTCCCCCTGGTAAAAATCATTAGGACTTTACTGTTGGGCTCCAGCTTGGCTCCAGGATGAAAGGAAAGCTGGTCGGGGGTGGGAGGTGGGGGGCGGGGGGAGCAGGGCGCTTACATGTCCTCCTGCAGCTGGGGAGTTAGAGGTTGGACAGAACACCTCCGGCCCTCCCCAAGCAGCCACGGCAGCCCAAGCTCCTCCCCGGCTCACAGGCAGGCTCTGAACCCCACTCCAGCTGCTGCCGACTGTGCCTTTAAATTGCTGCTTTCGGAGGGTGCATCTAGGGGAGGTGGGAGGCAGGAAAACATCTTCCTACCGGTCTCCCTCCTCCCTCCCCACCAAGACTCTTCAGGGTTTAGAGAGTGATTGCTGCCCAGAGAGAGTCTTTTCCAGCTCCCGGCTGGCAGGCTAAGGCCCTCCGGAGCCCAAGGCAAGCCCAAGCAGAAGCCAGTAGGGTTATCTGTGTCAGGATCATTTCCAGGGGAACAGTTCTGGCCCCTGGCAGGTAAAGACGGGCCAGAGGAGAAGAGGCAGAAGAGGAGAGAGAGCAGGCTCTTTGCGAGCAGCCCAAGTTGGAGAAAGGCTCTGTACTTTTGGCGTTCCTGCAGGGATATCCTCTCTCACGTTGGCAGCCAGGCTGAGAAAGGGCTTCAAGATCCCCGCGGAATGACAACTCTTGTTCCTGCAACCCTCTCCTTCCTTCTCCTCTGGACCCTGCCAGGGCAGGTCCTCCTCAGGTGAGCTGAGTGGGGGTGAGAAGGAGGTGCATGCAAACACTAGCCAAGGGGAATGGGCAACCTGGGCATCTGGCACACTTTCCTCTAAGTTTGCACAAAGCCCACAGTCTGGGGGGCTTCAGGGGAGGACACGCCCTCCCGCCCCGTTAGGACCCCAAGAGCTTCTTATTAGAGATGTCAAGGCCCCGGTCATGCTGGGAATGTTTCTGCACAGGTGGAGGTTTCCTAGGTCTGGGTAGGGGTTAGGCAACTAAGCCCCAGAATGGAGGGTGTCTGTCCAGCCGCCTAACCCTGTTTCCCTATCATCTGGGCTACACACTGCTGAGATCACTAAAAATGACAGAAACATCTGTCAACTGCCAGCCCAAGAGGCTTCAAGTAGCAGGGGTTTGGCCCAAGACCACATCAGGATGGAGCTGGGCTAGACATTCTTTGGCCTTCTGCAGTCACCCTGCTTGTGCTCACTTGGTTGCTCCCTATTCCTTGAGGGGGAAAAGGTAGCAGTCACTTCCTGGGCTTGCAGGAAAGACATCCTTTGGGCTCCCTGTAAATGTTCCCCCACCAACTGCCCCTTTCTCATTAGACCAGGAGCCAGCCTAGGTTGGCAGGGTGAGTTGAACAGGAAAGATGGCTGTAGCCTGGGCTGACCTGGTCATAAGAGGAGTGCCTCCAAAGGTGGAGGGGGTCAGTGCCACTACAGCATACTCCTCCTCCTCTTAATCCAAGAAACGTCTCAGGGCTGCTTGCCTCTGCGAAGCCTCCTGCTCCACTGTTTGCAGACACATTGGCTGGCAGGCAGGCAGGGATGCAGAGCAGGGCAATACACTTCTAAAGAGTGAAAAGCAGCTCAAAGTGGAATGGCAGCACAGCTGGAGTTGACAGGAGGATGCAGGCAGAAGGGGGCACCACACTGGGCCTTGCAGGCCCTCCAGGAGGGGAGGCTGCCTCAAAGCCCAAGCTCCAGTAACAGTGTTCCCACTGGGACTTGGAAAGCAGAGGCAATTAGAGCAAAACAGGCCCTTAGAGAGTCTGGAGTCCAAGTCCTTCATTGTACATATGGAAACTGAGGCCTAGAGATGGGGAGTGACCTGCCCAAGGTTGCTCAGCTACCTAGCACCAGAGTTAGAGTTCTCTCCCTGTGCTGCCCCAGAACCTTGTATGAGAAAGATTGTCAGCTCTGGATCCTCCTAGGTCCTGCAGGTGTTTAGGACTTTCCGGGAATGAAAGACAGGAGGGAGTGGCTGCACACTGTGACTGCTCTTAGGTCCTCAGACAAGTTAGCTCCAGAAGAGGGAACTGCAACAGGGGCTGGGGCCCAAGACTGCTAAGCCCATAGCCTGTCCCAGGATACTAGGTCTAGGATTAGCAGGAGAGGTGACCTGAGAGTGGGGCTGAGGACAGTGGGGAGGGTCCAGTTTCTCCATGTGCAGGACCATGTGGCCTCCCAGCAGGCAGGTGGCAGGTGGCCAGCAGCAGCAGCACCTGGCTAGTGTGGACATCCTGTGGTGAAGTCACAGACTTCTGCTTGCTCCAGCACCACCACCAGCCTCCTTGGATTTTCAGAGCCTGCCTCTGTCCCCAGGGTAAGGGCTTCCTCTTGCTTAGAAGATTCAAGGAGGCAGGACTCTAGAAGGTCAGGGTGGGGCTGCCACTGACCTTCCCCTACTTTGGCTCCTTGGCAGCCCACCCTGGGCTGCCTGCACCATAGTAATTGTGATAGATAGAGCTAGTTTTGAAGTCAATAGCTCTGGATTTGAATCCTGGCTTTACCACTCACTAGCTGCATGATCGTGAAGCATTCACCTCACCTTGCTGATCCTCAGTCTTCTCATTTATATAATGGGGGTGATCATAATACTTAGTCGAGAGGACTAATGTGAGAACTAAACTAGATAGAGTGTGTAAAGCATTTAGCATGGTGCCTTAGCTATTTTTATTATTCTATCGGTCACTGGATGGTACATGGATCTACTGGGAAAGAGGAGCCCACTGGCTCAAAAAAGACTAGTCCCCAGCAGGACAGCAGTTACGCCGCTGCTCAGTCCCACAGTGTGGCAGCAGCAGTGACAGTGGTGGAGTCGGCTATAGAGCAATGACAGCAGGCAGGAGGGAGCAGGAGGTGCCTGGCCCAGCCTGGAGTCCAGCTGAGCTCGGCCCTGAGCACTGCTCCTGTCCCCAAGGTTTTGCTGAGCTCCTAATCCCTTGTTTATCTGTTAACTGGCAAGTTGGTAAGTAGGCATATGGAAGGGGCTTTGCTGCTGTTAGAGGGAAACCTGTTAGGGGAAAAGGGGACTGGCTTCTAAGCTATGCCAAAGCACACTGGCTCCTTCCTCAAAATCAAGCTGTTAGCAGGGAAAATATGGGAGTTGACCTCAGCATGTCTACCCTACCGGGAGGCTTTTCCCCATCCCTAGAGTCCTGCTTCCCCACCATAGTTACCAAGACTAGTTCCCCTGCCTGCAGTGGCATGGCCCTTAACTAAAACGTAGCTCAAACATAGCTTCCTGCTGGAGCACACGCCAGAAGCCAAAACTCCCTCTTCAGATGCTAGGTCCTACTTCCTGAGCAGCCCAGCATAAAGCCCAAGCAACTGAAGCCAACTCTCAAAAATAAAAGTTGTCCTTGAGCCCTTCCCATCCTTGACTAGGCTAGACGGGCAAAACTTTGTAGTAGCCACATAATTTCCCGCAAGACATCACTCATTGAGTGTTTTCCAAGTACCTTCAGAAAGAGAACACTGGATGAGGCCTCAGCCTAGGGTATGAGTCCTGACCCTGTCACTAGCTCTGAGACTTTGAACAAGTCATTCCTCCTTTTGAAGCCTCAGTTTTCTCATCTGTAAAATGGGAATAACAGTCCTCACCCCCATCTCACTGAGAATTGGGAGGGTAAGAAGATCTACTGTCTGTGAAAACACTTTTCTAGTACTAACAGGTAGGCTGCCGTGTTGATTTATGGCTGTTTTTGTTCTCGTTTTGCAAATGGCACCCAGAGACCCATCATCTTCTGTCCTCCTGCCTGAGGGCTATGGAAACGGACAGTCTGTGATAAATGCAGCACACAACTGGCCTCAGACTTTTTTACCTCTCCTGTCCAGGGTGGCCTTGGCAAAAGAGGAAGTCAAATCTGGAACCAAGGGGTCCCAGTCCATGTCCCCCTCTGATTTCCTAGACAAACTTATGGGGAGAACATCTGGGTATGATGCCAGGATTCGACCCAATTTTAAAGGTAAGAAATCTTCATCCTATAAAAATTCCTCTCTCCCCACCACCTTTGGCAGCACACTACCCAGCCAGCCCCTATTGCCTCCCCTAAGGAAAGGAGGCTGGAGGTCCTGGGCTAGGGCTAGTTCTAACAGCTCAGAAGGAGCCTCCCCACCCCATTGCCCATGGGCGTGTGTAGCTGGCACTGATTTCTCCCAGCAGTGCCCTGGCCTGAAGCTCAGGGAGGGAGTTCTGGAAGCTGCTCCCAGCCTCCTGGAATGCCCTGCCAATGGCCTATGCTTTGTTACCCTCAGGCCCACCCGTGAACGTGACCTGCAACATCTTCATCAACAGTTTCGGCTCCGTCACTGAGACCACCATGGTAAGGGATCTCCCCACTCCCCACTTCCAGCCTAGTGTGAGTGGGAGGAGCCCACCAGATAGCAAGCTGGCATCTTTTGCCATATCAGCCCAAGGAAGGCTCCTTCTCCAGTGAAAAATGCCTACTGCCCGAGATATGCTTCCAACACTCCTCCTCATGGCCCTCCTGCTCATACAGGCTTGCTGGGCCCCTGGGAATGGCAATGTTTCTGATGGGCCCATATCTGCACCCTCCCAGGACTACCGGGTAAATGTCTTCTTGAGGCAACAGTGGAATGACCCACGCCTGTCCTACCGAGAATATCCTGACGACTCTCTGGACCTCGATCCCTCCATGCTGGACTCTATCTGGAAGCCAGACCTGTTCTTTGCCAATGAGAAAGGGGCCAACTTCCATGAGGTGACCACGGACAACAAGTTACTGCGCATCTTTAAGAATGGGAATGTGCTCTACAGCATCAGGTGCACCGGGTGGATGGCCAGGAGAATAATTTAGATGAAGACCAAGGAGTGGGAGGAGGGTTCCCTTGTGCTGTGATGGGCCCCAGTAAGCCAAAGTCATTTCTTTCTTACTGTCCCCACTAGGTTGACCCTCATTTTGTCCTGCCCAATGGACCTCAAGAACTTCCCCATGGACATCCAGACCTGCACGATGCAGCTGGAGAGTTGTAAGTGTCTCTATAGAGTCACAGAGGACCTGGAATAACAGTGAGTTAACCCGACCTCATGACATCACAGACGAAAAGGGCTACCCAGAGTTGGGAAGAACTTACTCAAGCACACCCAGCCAATTCTTGGCACAGATGAGACTAGAAACCAGGGCTCCCTAACCCCTAGAACAGTGTGTTTTTCATCCCCACACTATTTGCTGATCTGGCTGTTCCATGGGGCTGGGGAACAGGAAGGCATCAGCCTTACGCACAAATGCGTTTGTGCTGTTTTGGGGGGCGATTTGAGCGGCATCTTCTCTGCCCAAAAGTATGTCCCCTCTCACAGTGCCTGAAGGAGTTCCACCTTTACTTCCCTTGAGTTAAGGCATTGAAGATGCCTATAAAAATGCCAAAGTGGGCAGGGTGGGGGCACTCGTGGAGCCCTGGTTCCCCACAAACACAGATACCTTTGTAGAGAGGTAGGAGATGACAGTTCTAGGCACAGGACAGTGCCTAGAATGAAGAGGTCAGCCAAGGGCTCCTCTGTGGCAGGGGTGCCAGCCTGGAGGGGCTGCCCAAAGTGCAGAGGAACCAAGGATGACAAGGCTGGGACGTCACTTATTTCCACTCCCTCCTCATCTCCTGGGTCGGGGGAGACTGTTAGATCTGGAGCCATCCACTAGATGTTCCCAGAAGAAGGCTTATAAGGCTGTTTCCAGTATAAAATAACTGTAATGAGTAGAATGTGTCTTGTGTGGTCAGCTCTTTAGAGTTCTTAAACCACTTTCACACCCGGGCTCTCAATATCCCTTCATGGCAACTCTGAAAAGTGGGTAGAGCAGCTACTATAATTCCCGTTTTACAGAAGGGGAAGTGACTTATCCAAAGTCAGAGAGCTACTCTGGGTCAAGGCCCAACACTGGATGTCTGTGAGCCTGGTGTTTCTGCTCCCATCTCTACCTGACATGTGCAAATATGGTCATATACGTGGCATGAGCCCTCATGAACTGCTATGTATGTGTGAATAACTTGGCATGTTCAGATATTAGCTTTAAATTTGTCCCAACTCAAGGCCCTGGCTAGGATCTATGGTATGCACATTGTCCCATGCATGACTGGCAGGATATAAATAGCTGTCTCCTCCCTGAGGTGATGTGGCAGAAGCTCTGGCTCTGAGGCTAGCTCAGCTTAAGACATGTGTTCGGTACACATGCTTACTCCCCTGGGCTTGAGATATGGCAGGAGGCTCCTAGCTGGGTTCCTTGACATTTTTCCAACCCTCTTGACCTGCTTTCTAGGTCTGCCAAAATAATTTATCTCTGGGCTTTTCTCAAGCTTGAAAACAGGGTAGGAGTCTATAGTCTTCCTGATTTACCTGCCCACTCAGGATGGGCCCGTGAGACAACTGACCAAGTGTCCTCTCCAGAAAAGTTTCCCTTTCCATGATAAGCATGAAGCTCCTAAACCCCAGACCTTACTCCTCACCTGTTCTCTCCTGCCTGTTCTGATCCTACCCCTACCCCCACCCAACACCCACACTCTGCAGCCCTCTGCCATCTCTGTCACTTTCAGTTGGCTACACCATGAATGACCTCGTGTTTGAGTGGCTGGAAGATGCTCCTGCTGTCCAAGTGGCTGAGGGGCTGACTCTGCCCCAGTTTATCTTGCGGGATGAGAAGGATCTAGGCTATTGTACCAAGCACTACAACACAGGTAAAAACCAGGATCTTTATTGGCTGTGAGCCACAGGAGAACCTTCAGATGTGAGGCAAGGGGACAAGTCAGCTGGCCTCTATCAAAGGTTCAATTTATGTCAGATATGGGGCCAGGCGCTTCATATAACTTATCTATTTGTGATAGCAATTATAAATACCATTTTTCAGAAAGGGAAAACTGAGGTTCTAAGAAGTTAGTTAAATCAAGTGTCCAAGTCATATAGCTAGCAAATGGCAGATTTAGAATTTAAATCCAAGCCTTCTAACTCCAAAATCCATGTTCTTGTTCCTGTTGCATGCTGCAGAGCAAACGACAGTGGGTGGAAAGTTTCCCACTTTTCCTGGGGTCAACTTTGTGGGGAAGCAGGGAATCCATATCTGGTAATAGGGAGTGACTATGCTGAACCCAGAGGGAACAGGCCTGAGGGCAGTGGCCGGCTTACAGTCCACACCTCCCACTGTGCCACCACTGCCAGCTCTCAGGAGCTTCCCAGGTGTGAAATGTCAGCTAAGAAGTGGAGAAGGGCTGCTTTCCCAGCTTGAGCATCTGCCCCCCTGCAGCTTCTCTAAGAGTTGCTGGCTCCACATTTTCCCTGACAATTTGTCTGCACGGAGCTCTGACCCTGAAATAGAGGCAGCAGCCTGAAGAGGGGAGATCCCGGGTCCCTTCCATGGTGGGCTGATATGTTTTGGGTACTGCCCCATGAATATGGGTGTGCATGTATGTGGGGGTGTGGGGAGTGGGAAAAGGAAAAGGCCATTGAATTTAGAAAATACAAGGGGGAATTAAAATTGATACAAACTTTTTGGAGTAAAAAAGTTGGCAATCTGTATATAGATCAGTGGTTTTCAAACTTTGGTGTTCATTATATTCCCCTGGGGAATATATTAAATATATTAAAATGCTGGCTCCTGGGCTCTACCTCTCAGAGATTCTGATTATGGTTACCTATTCTTGGAGTGATGCCCAGAAATCTGCATTTTAACAGCATCTTGAGGATTCTGATGCAGGTGGTCCAGCGAACATGCTTTGAGAAACTTTAGAAGCTAAAATTGTTTTTCTACTTATTTATCCAGGAATCCTACTCCTTGAAATGTATTATATGGAAATATTCCAAAATACTGCATTGGCCTTTGACCCCAAGGGGGCTCCTGGGTGACTGTTTATATTAGCAAAAACTTGGAACTGTTTTAAATATCCACCAATAGGGCAGAGGTTAAGTAAATTACATAGTGTGTCTGCTTAGTGGATTAGTATGCAGACGTTAAAAGGGATGGTTAACAAGGTGCTTATATCAATGTGTGAAAGTACAAGTGAAAAAAGGTAAGATTCAGAGGTATAAATACAGAATGATTATATTATGGTAAAAGAAATAAACCAAAAGCATGCATTTAAAAACTTTGGGTGGAAATAGCACTAAATGTCTCTAAAGTAATGTGATACAACAGACAAAAGCAAGAAGTTTGGAGGCAGATAGAGCTGAGTTTGGATTCTGGCTCCATCATTTACTAGTCGAGTGCCCTTGAGAAACATAACTTAATCTCTTCATGCCTCCATATTCCTATCTGTAATATGAGAGATAATAATTTTACTTGCCCCAAAGAGTTGCTATAGGATTAAATGAGATAAAGTATATGAAGTCAGGTCCTTAGTAGGGGTTTGATAAATATAAGCTTATGAATATTATTATCCCTTCTCTACTTCTCATTTTTTCTATACTAAACAAGTTTTAATTTTGGAATTAAAAACAAAACTGCTACTGCAAAAAAAAAAGAAGAAGGAAAGAAGGGAAAGAAAATATGGGTACCTAATAAAGGCATGTCATGACAAGAATCCCGGGGTGGGATGAAGTGAGGTGGATTCAGGGAACAGTAAGAGGTCACAGCATCATACAATGTGTCAAAATCATAATCAGTCATTGACGAAATCACTGGCTTTGAAGAATCAAGTAGGCCTGATAAGACTAGACCTAGGCCAGAATAAAATAACAATATATGCACCTTCTCCTTTTCACTTGGATTATCCTGAGCCTCTGCTTCCAAGAGAAGCTCTGAGCTAGTATTTTCTCAGCCCTAGGGCCCTGGAAAGCAGAGTAAAGTGAAGGTTGCCAAAGGAGATGGAGCATTGGTTGGCGTGCCTGGGCCAATGCACTTTTTGCTGGTGGAATAGAAGGCCTGATGCTCTATGGGAACCCACTCCCCGCAGTCTGGAGCTGGTCTCTGTTGGGCGGTTTTCAGATGTTTGCTATCTGGCTCTTCTCACTTGCTTAAGACACAAGCAGTGTTTATCCCAGTGAATTGTTGTTGCTAGAGAGCTTCTGGGGCACTAGCAAGCACAAGCATGGCTGCTGAGATCTAAGTGGAGTCTAAGCCAATTGCTTTGTTAATAATGATAATAGTAACAGCTACCTATGTGTCAAACACCTCAAATACATTATCTTGTTTAATTTTTCCAATAGCCCAGTGATGGAGTTGGTATCACTACTCTGTTTTACAGTCAAGGAAACTGAAGCTCAAAGCACAAAGTCACACAGTGGAAGGTTCAGGATTCAAACCCAGGCAGTCTGACTCTGGAGCCCTCCTGCTCCTTCTCCTCTTGCTGTGCCGTCTCGTGAAAGGCTTTCTGCTGGAAATGAAAGTGCTGGGAGCGAAAGGCCAAGTCTTTGATGGTCGTTCTGAGAGCTTCCTTAGTATATACATCTGGCGCTGCCTGGGGCCATTATGAAAGGCTCATTCATTGGCCCAGCTGAGGTGCCCAGAGGCTGGTCAGCAGAGGGCTGCCCTCTTCCTGTCCTAATCCCCTTAGGCTCAGCTACAGACTGGGGACCTGGGGCCTGACTCCTCACCTCTGTCCTTGCAGGGAAATTCACCTGCATCGAGGTAAAGTTTCACCTGGAGCGGCAGATGGGCTACTACCTGATTCAGATGTACATCCCCAGCCTACTCATCGTCATCCTGTCCTGGGTCTCCTTCTGGATCAACATGGATGCTGCCCCTGCCCGTGTGGGCCTGGGCATCACCACCGTGCTCACCATGACCACCCAGAGCTCTGGCTCCCGGGCCTCTTTGCCTAAGGTGAAGAGACATGCAAGGGAACTTGCTTGCCATAGAGCACCCCATTTCCCATTCATCCCAATGTGCCCTCCTGCTCACCATTTACCTTGGATTTAAGGTTGAGAAGATCCACTGGGCAAGAGCTGGTGTCCTGCATTCTCTCTCTCCCTGTAATATACTGCTAATAACATTGTTGACAATGTGGAGGCTGGGGTTAGGGATGCTATCTGCCTAGGGAATGAGGAGAGACAGTGCCTTACTTTGACTCTCTTCAGGAAATATTAGCGTGTCCAAGGTCAAAAGATCCTCAGCAAGTAGAAAGTCCTACTCCCTCATGACACAGATGAGGAGAATACAGCCCAGAGTGGTAAAATAACCTTCTTAAGATCATGCCTTGTAAGAAACAATCAAAAGAATATCAGAGTTTTGAACCAATTTCTGTCGTCTTACTGTATCAGAAATTAGAAACTATCACAAAGTGCTCTAGAGACAGTATCCATTCTTTTGGGATGAGAAAATTGAGGTAGAAAATAGCAATTAAAGTCAGTGGACTCCAGTTGTCTGGGCCCAGTGATGTTTTCATTACGCAGGAAGATTTGTGCTGATGGGACTGGGCACAGATTCTCCCTGTCTCATGTCTTCATGTAGGGAATTTAGAGGTCACCTCAAAGTCCTTACAGTCAGCAAAGCTCTGAACAAATCAGGGAGCAATGCCATTTATTCATTCAATAAATATTTATTGAGCATGTACTATGTACCAGCCACTGAACTTTGTCATGTAGAAATAACAGGAAGCAAAAGCAACACAGTTCCTTGTGGATCTTACAATGAATATATTCCCTCTTGCACTGATTTGTTGGGAACCAGGCCCTATGATCTCCCATCTCTCAGTGCTTGTTCCTAAGAAGACTTTTTACTGGGGGCTTACACAGCAGGTAATTTCACACATCCATGGTGAATTTATGAATGTGCTACATGGCTGGGAGTAGGGTAGTGATTAGGAATAGGAGATTGGGATCAGCAGATTTGGGTTTGTCTCCCAAGCTCATCATCTACTAATAATTTACCTTAGGTAAATTCCTTAACCTCTCAATCATCTTGCCTGTAACATGGGAATAAGAATATTACCAGTTACGGCTGGGTGCGGTGGCTTACGCCTGTGATCCCAGCACTTTGAGAGGCCGAGGCAGGCGGATCACATGGACAAGAGTGCGAGACCAGCCTGGCCAACATGGTGAAACTCCATCTCTACTAAGAATACAAAAAAAAATTTTGCTGGGTGTGGTGGCGTGTGCTTATAATCCCAGCTACTTATGAGGCTGAGGCAGAAAAATCGCTTGAACCTGGGAGGCGGAGGTTGCACTGAGCCGATGCACCACTGCACTCCAGCCTGGGCAACAGAGCAAGATTCTGTCTCGAGAGAGAGAGAAAAAAAAAAAAAGAATATTACCAGTTCCATAGGGTTATTGCAAAATATAATATATTAACACACAGGACAGTGTTTGGCACATAATAATCGCTCAATAAATGTTAACTATTGTTATAATTATCAGGTGTCAGGGTTGAAAAAACTGAGTGATGAATCTGGGGCTAAAGCAGCTGGTATCGTCCCTAATTATTTTTGAGTTGTCAGAAACCCTTTGAGGTGGTCCAAAGCCCTATAGGGATAAGTGGTGACGAAACTCAGATCAGAATCACATGTCCCAGGAAACGCTGTTAGAGATCATTTTCTGTAAATGTGTTTCCTAGATGGACAGGGATATTGACAAGGCTCTGAGAGGCAGGCTGGAGTTAGGCAAGGGCTACACGGCCAGACCAGGCTGTGATGGTCGTGTTTTGATAATGGTCTTGTAAGGAGACCAGAAGCAGAAAAGTAGTTCAGACCTAAGAACCCTGCCCTAGTTTATTACCTCTGCCACACAAGGTGATTCATCTCTAAAGCAGGGAGGTACTGAAATTTATGCCTTATTCTTGCCAAGAGAACTTCCTTTTCTGGTTCCCTCCTGTGAGTGAACATGATCCATCTGCTCCCAGGAATCACTTAGTTTCCTTATTTGGAAAAAACAGTCTTTGTTGGAGGGTTGTTTGCAGCATTTGGTACCTTCTTGTCAAATTTTAATGACTTCTTTATAGCCTCATTGGCCAGTAAGCAAAATATCCAAGCCTGCACCCTGAACTAAATAGCCTCATTATCCAGCCCCTCAGAGCAAGGGACTCAGTAAGCCAGGGACTGCCTGCTCACTCTTGAGTTTGTGTAACATTAAGTTTGGTGGGGGCCGCATGAGGTCAGTCTAGGGGCTTCCAAAAGCCACACCAATCTCACACCCCCTAATACAACTCTAGTGTCCAGAATGAGAGTGGCAGAGGCTTACTTTGTAAGGGAACTCAGTTGGGGTGACCATTCCTCATGTTCCCAGGAAACAACTGTTACTTTGCCTTTATGGTGCCACCAAAGGCACTGATTACCATCTCTTTGCTGGGCCTTTGATCCCCTCAACTGCAGGGAACTCAAAGCAGGATGGAAGGACTAAATGGAAGTTTCTTCCAGAGGCTAGGAGATTAGACCTAAAGTTGCAGCAGGGAAGGAGCCACTTCTGTCTAGATCCTATCATCTCAATGGCCTACAGCTATTGGGGCAGGTAGTGGTAAAGAGGGTAGACAGCAAGCAGAAACCAGCAGATATGCACATCACATGTTGCTAAACCGTCTATCTGTTCATTCATTCAAAAACATATTTACTATAGGCCAGAAACTCAGCTAGGCATTGAAGCAGAACAGTGATTGAGATAGAAACAGTCCGTGCCATCGAAGAGCTCACAGTCTAGTTGAGGGAATGGCCAGGTATGTGATGGATGCTAAGAAGTTGTAGGTAACCTGAGCACATATAGCAGGACAACCAACACAGACTGGGATGATTAGGGAAGGCTTCCCAGGGGATGTGGTATCTAAAGTGAAAGCTGAAGGATAAGTAAAAGTTATCCAGGTAAATGAGAAAAAGGATAGAGGAGATTGGCTCTTTGGGAAACTACAGAAATAGTTTACCACAGCAGATTACAAGGGGTGTGATGAAATGAACAGGTAGGCAAAGGCTAGATATCATGATAAGGGGAGCCTAGACTGTATTATAAGGGTAATGGAGAACCACTGAAGGATCATGAAGGGGAGTGATATAATCAGATTTACATTTTGAAAACAACTCTGGCTGCTGTTTGGAGAACAGATTGGAGGTGGCAAGAGTAGATGCAAGGAGACCATTCAGAAAACTTGCAACCCTTCAGATGTGCCAGGATAGTGAGTGGACAGATTCCTGAGTTTTTGTTTGTTTTTGGTTTTGTTTTTGTTTTTTAGACAGAGTCTCACTCTGTTGCCCAGGCTGGAGTGCAGTGGCACGATCTCAGTTCATTGCAACCTCTGCCTCCCGGGTTCAAGCAATTCTCCCACCTCAGCCTCCCTAGCAGCTGGGATTACAGGCATGCACCACCACACCCAGCTAATTTTTTGTGTTTTTAGTAGAGATGGGTTTTGGCTGTGTTGGCCAGGCTGATCTCAAACCACTGGGCTCAAGTGATCTGCCTCTCAGACTCCCAAAGTGCTGGGATTACAGGCATGAGCCACCACGCCCAGCCAAGATTTTCGAGATGTATTATTGACACACTTATCATTAACAGGACTTTCTTCCTAGTGCTTAAAGTGTCTTTTCCTTTGATGGTCTAAGGACCTTCATGGCCATCCTTTTATAATGATGAGTAATTACCTCATTATTGATCTTGCAGGTATTTGATATCCTTGGGGGCACTGTCAGACTGAGGGATGGTGAATGAAATAGGATGCCCTCTTAGTAAGTGGCAAAGTGGCAAAATGGAGACACCAAGGGATGCTTCATCAGGGGTGTCTAGTAACCCACTGCCACCATCTCAGTGACATTGCCCTAAAAGAGTTAGAGCAGGGTTTTTCACCCTTAGCACTCTTGCCATTTGGGGCCAGATAATTCTTTGTTGTGTGCGTGCATGTGTGTGTGTCTGTGTCTGTATGTGTGTCTGTGTGTGTCTGTATGTGCCTGTATGTGTGTCTCTGTGTGTGCATGTCTGTGTGTTGAAGGCCAGGCAGGGAGCTGTGTACTGTAGAATGTTTAGCAGCATCCCTGGCCTGTACCCATTAGATGCCAGTAGCCACCACCTCTTGCAAAATTGTGCCACCAAAAATGTCTCCAAGTATTACCAGATGTCCCTGGCGGGGGGCAGAGTTGTCTCCAGTTAAGAATCACTGAGGTAGAGGATTTATTTATCCAGTGAAACTTGCTCCTTACCTGGGATCTGCAGCACTCTCACTTCCCATCATAGCAGCGGCTGATTAAAGAAGTGGCTTAGGCCGGGCGCGGTAGCTCAAGCCTGTAATCTCAGCACTTTGGGAGGCCGAGACGGGCGGATCATGAGGTCAGGAGATCGAGACCATCCTGGCTAATACGGTGAAACCCCGTCTCTACTAAAAAATACAAAAAACTAGCCGGGCGAAGTGGCGGGTGCCTGTAGTCCCAGCTACTCGGGAGGCTGAGGCAGGAGAATGGCGTGAACCCGAGAGGAGGAGCTTGCAGTGAGCTGAGATCCGGCCACTGTACTCCAGCCTGGGTGACAGAGCAAAACTCCGTCTCAAAAAAAAAAAAAAAAAAAAAAGAAGTGGCTTGTCCGAAATTCTGTTCTTGCTGGGGTGTCCTATGTGGTGAGCTCAGCAGCTGAAAGCTATGTAGCAGGTAATTTGGTTGAGGAGATGAAAAGATCTAAACCTGAGCTCTGTCCCTCACTCCTGGCCCCACCCATCTGCAATGCCTGGAAGAGGCCAGAAAGTGGGAGACAAAAGTATTTGGAGGCTGCCAAGGAAAGTAGTGAGGGGAGAGTACAAGGGACTGGATAGGTGGATGCCAACCACATCTTGCAACTAGCAAAGCATCCTTAAAGGGGTGGGTGGTGTTCCCTCAGTATCCCTGCCCTGTTCTCTCCAGGGTGAGAGATGAGGCCCCAGCTCACTACTGAGCCAAATTCATCAGCAAAGCCTTTCCAAAAGAGCAACAAGGAAAACCACAAGACCAGGGGAAGAACAGGGGTGGAGGAAGGAACTCCTAGTCTGTCAAGGGAAGAACAGGGGTGGAGGAAGGAACTCCCAGTCTGTCAGTGAGACCGCAGCCTAAGTAAATGGCAATGCCACTGAATTGAAAGCCCAGAACATCCAGGTCCTAGTACCACCTTCTCATTGGGTAATCTTGGCTAAGACCCATCTGCTCTGGGCCTTAAGTGTCCTCATGTGTCTCACATCGGTATTGTGAACGCTGCCTGACCAATTACCACTGAGGCTGTGAGGACCCTAGGAGATAACAGAGGGAAGACAAATGCAGTGTTCATGCTCATTACTGTTTATTGAAAGAAAAGAATCAAAAGAAGCTCAGAATGAAGACAATAATAAAAAGCAGAAGCAAAAGTTCAAGAAGAATAAAGAAAGAAAGGGAAAGAATTGTAGGAAGGAAAAACTTGTAGAGGTAGAGTATGAAGAGTGCAAAGAGGTGGAGTATGATGGGCAGTCCTATCTTTTCCATCTGGGCTTTCAGACGATGGGATATGTCATGGAAAGCTTCTTTAAACACCAGAAAAAATTCAGGATAAAGTTCAAAAAGAGCAGGCAATCGATAGGGGTTGGAAATCGACTCAGTAGGCCATGGAAGGACTTCAAGAAGGTTGATAGTTCTGTCGTTGGATGTTGCAGGTGTCCTACGTGAAGGCAATCGACATCTGGATGGCTGTGTGTCTGCTCTTTGTGTTCGCTGCCTTGCTGGAGTATGCTGCTGTCAATTTTGTTTCTCGTCAGCATAAAGAATTCATACGACTTCGAAGAAGGCAGAGGCGCCAACGCATGGTGAGTACAACTAGGGAGGGGCCCACTGCCTTTCTCCTTTGACTCCTTTCTCCCTACTCCTCCTCCCCACAAACCAAGACCCACCCCAGAGCTGCAAGGACTAGACAGGCAATCAGAAACCCTGGGTGCAGTGGCTCGCGCCTGTAATCCCAGCACTTTGGGAGGCCAAGGCGGGTGGATCACGAGGTTAGGAGTTCAAGACCAGTCTGACCAACATGGTGAAACTTCGTCTCTACTAAAAATACAAAAATTAGCCGGGTATGGTGGTGGGCACCTGTAATCCCAGCTACTCAGAAGGCTGAGGCAGGAGAATCGCTTGAACCTGGGAGGTGGAGGTTGCAGTGAGCTGCAATCACCACTGCAATCCAGCCTGGGCGACAGAGTGAGACTCCGTCTCAAAAAAAATAAAAATAAAAATAAAAATAAATAAATAAATAAAAAGAGATTGCTTTGAGAAGTAGTAATTGCTCCCCCCACAACCTGGAGGAAGGTAGCCCAGGTTGTCATACACTAATTGGTAGTTAAGAATTCAACAGTCAGGCATTGGTGCCTTTCTAGGGGAGCATTATAAGAGGGCCCCCATAACTAAGTTGGAATTGAGAAACCACCACTTGCCTGTTCTGACTGTTGGATTTCTTCTTCTTGATCTTCATTGGGTTCATTAGAGTTGTTGGGCTTGGGTTGTTGTTCTTCCTTACTCTTTTCTGTTAACCTCATTTCTTCTACAGTAAAGTGATCACCTGGGGAAATATAAAAGAAATCTTGTCGTCATGACAACAGAGGCAGTTTACCCCCAATTGCCCAGACAATAGGTGCTAGGTAAGTTGTCATGACAACAGAGGTGCCTGGGCCAGCCTCACAGAAGCAAGTGTCCAATTATGAGCAAAGCTGAAAGGCTTGCTGAGCTACCTACTGGTCGCTTAATCATTAGAGACACAGAGTTCTGGTCTGTCTTCAGCTCTGACTCCATGTTTTCTGTCTAATCTGGAGGCTCTAAAGCCAGAGAGGCAAGAGCATAATGACCTCTGGGGGATGGGGAACAATGCTTTGAACCCACTGTTAAAATCCTGACTCTAGCTTGTCTGGGCCACACTAGCACAAGGACTGTTCTCTCCTCCTAACACACCACCTTCCACCTCAGCTGCTCCAGGGGCACCCCTACCATATGTCCGCACTAAAAATATCTCACAAACTATAGCCTTGGTTTCATGTCCCTTGCTAAGGTCCCTTTCTGCTGAGGGCAGGGCTCCTGTCTCATCTAGTAGTTTAAATTTATCAGTCCCTGCCCTTTAGTCCTTTAGTTGGTCCCTGGGCAGTATGCCCTCTAGTGGACTAATCCACAACTACATGTCCTCGAGTAGGACTCATTCTTCAAGAAACCTAAAAGCATTTCCTAACCCATACCAAGGGTTAGGGAAAAAAAAAAAAAAAAAAAAAAAAAAATATATATATATATATATATATATACACACACACACACACACACCTAGCACAAGGGCAAGAAAAGGACACTCCATTTTCTAAGCTAACTGTCCCCACCCCCTCTTTAGCTGTGTCGAACAAATCTGCCTGCAGGTACCAAAATCTTATCTTTATAGGAGTTTTGATCTTGGTGCCTTCTCAATGCCTACCTTGGGAAAAAAAAAAAAAGCAGACTGCCAACCAATCCAGAGTCCTTTCACCAGCTAAGTTGCCTGTATGGATGTCCCAGCAACAAAAAGGCTGCCATTGTTACTGTAGAGCTACTCCAGGTTGACACTAGTCCCACCTCCTTTCCTGAACTCCTGCAACCTGCAACTGCCTACAGCCTGTCCCCTCCTGCTCATATATATAGGCTGATCCTGAGCTCATAATGGCGTCTGTCATGACCAGTGCTCAATTATTACAAAGTTACAACAGCAGCCTGGGCCTTGCTTAGGACTCTGGGGCCTGCCTAAAAGTGGGCTGAGGCTTATTATTAATGTGAATAAAACTGAAAATCAAACCCGTGCCATTCATCATGTCCTTTTTTGAGTCTTCTAAAGTCACTGCTATCCCAGGACCTGTAGCAGGAATTTTGGAGGCACCAAGCAGGCTGAAAAAATTGATGGAGAGTTCATCCATTTATAGAACCTCTGTCTGGGCCCTACTGTTCCAGCTAGAGAAAAAGAATTCTTCAGTCTGAAAGGGCAGGGAGAAAATCCATGTGATCTCCAGGGAACCCTTAGCCGACAGTCAGTTAGGAGTGTTCTAGGAGCCAGCCAGCCATTCACGTCTTTTCCTCTCAACTCTCTCCTCAACCAACAACTCCATAGCATGGTGGCTCCCTTTCATGTCACTGCCTAAAGTGGTTTACTGTTTACCCATGCGATCCTGCACTGCCTTCCCAGCTAGTCCGTAAACTTCCCCAGGAAAGGGAAGCCCTTTTTCATTTCCTCAGCAGGTCTTAGCACCAGGCTCTGGCCACAGCAGTCACGTAACCCAGCTCACCAGCTTTCACAGGCTGATTGGAGAGGACTGTCTCTCAAACTGGACAGAGCAAAAGCTTTGTCGTGATCAATAGAATAATTTGATAACTGGAAGAAATTTCAAAATACTTCCCAGTCCTCTCAAGGGCTTGGTCCCAGAACCCTGCCCACCTCTCTTCATCCTCCAGCACCCTCTTCATTCCCCATTCTGTAATCTCCTTTTTTCTAGCCCCTCTCACTTCAATACATATCACTCTTTCCCATCTCCACACTTTACCTCCTACACTGTGTATTCCCTCCTTAGCATGGTTATGAGATATCTTCCCTCTCTAGCTTCTCAGTCCTTCTCCCCTACAGATAGCCAGGAAAAAAAAAAAAAAGTTCTATTTTAATAGGTATGTAAGCCACAAAGTGGTATTTAAGGTTCCAATGTCCCTTTCCAGCACACACACACCACACACAAACACCCCTCAGAATTTGGCCTAAAGAGAGAATACCCAAATGCAGGATGCCCCACCCCTGGATTTCAAGCCACTCATCTTTGCTCCCCCAGCTACAACAGGTACAATATGTTAATATCATAAAAAGCCAAGAGCAGCTTACTCTATTGGCCGTATTTTCTCTCCCGTGTGAAATGGCTTTTTCCAGCCTGGGAAATGTGTCCGGATAATTCCCTTTAGACTTACTATGATTGGAGAAAAGGGAAAATAGTTGGATCTATAGAAACAGAAATAGCAGTTGGATCCAACTTTCCCCCTCAGAGCTTTTTTGCCAACATCTTTTGCTTACATCCTCTAGCCGGGGTGGGGCTCAGGGAATCAGGTTGAGTACTGGGGAACAGGGTTATCTGAAGGACCCTGAACTGGAAATCAAGGGAGAAAACCATTTTACTTACTCCCCTCATTTTAAAATTATTGCAAAATATTTTGTTTGCCTCTGGTTCTTCACCTCGAAAATGGGTCCAGCACAACCTCCCCTGTCAGAATAGTGTAAAAATGAATTACAGAATACATATGAGGTGAACCAAGGCCTGTCTTTATGATGACAGGTCAGCTTCTAGTCATGTCATCATCAAGGGTTACTAGGACCTGCAACACCAACATCTCATACACAAAGCCACTTTTCTTTTTTTTTTTTTTTTTGAGATGGAGTCTCGCTCTGTCACCCAGGCTAGAGTGCAATGGCGCGATCTGCACTCACTGCAACCTCTGCCTCCTAGGTTCCAGCGATTCCTCAGCCTACTGAGTAGCTGGGATTACAGGTGCCTGCCACCATGCCCAGCTAATTTTTGTATTTGTAGTAGAGAAGGGGTTTCACCATATTGGTCAGGCTGTTCTTGAACTCCTGACCTCGTGATCTGCCCGCTTCGGGCTCCGAAAGCGTTGGGATTACAGGTGTGAGCCACCGTGCCTGGCAAAGCCATTTTTCAATGTGTTGCTATAGCTGCAGAGGGCCCATGATAAAGACCCTGTGGTGTCCCTCTAACTGAGAAGGACAGAGTGTTTAAAATCTACTTTATCCACATTTTGCATATATCTATGTCATACCTATACAATATACACATATCTTTTTCTTATAATTTATAATAAATACCTCTGGTGGCCACAGGATGACCAACTCTTCCTAATTTGCCTTGCACTTCCCCAGTTTCAGCCCTGAAAGACCCAAGTCTCAGGAACCCTTTCCGTCCTGGACAAACTGAAATGACAGTTTGCATCGTCCTCCAAGGGGCCATTGCACTTCAGGTGATTTCTTAGATACCTGAAATTTTGACTCTAAAACCATGAATACTTTAAGAAATTACCACCATCTTTGAAGGAAGGATTTCTCAACTCTGTCCTTTAGAAGTAAATAAAATTAGGTTTGTTAGGGTTGCATATAAAATAAGACTAAATAGGCTGTGAATGGGGGCCTGAGGGCCTCATATAAGTAAAGCTCCCTCTATTGACACTCAGAGGTTTTGGTTCTCTCTCTCTCTCTCTCTCTGTCTTTCTCTCTCAACTTTATCTTTCTGTCCCTACTTCCTGGCTCCCAGCTGTGTTTAGCTACTAAAGGTTGTCAGCTAACTATTGGAAAATGGACTTTTGGCAGTCTGCCGCATTACTTAGTGCTTATATAAAATTTACCCCTCACTGGGCATCTGTTTGTCATAATGTGCACATTATATATGAATGGAATGTGCCTTGGGTAATAAAAATTACCCTGGATGTACTGACCCCTGTGTCAAATTTGCTGATTTGCAGAGTAGCACACATATCTGCAATAAAGTGATCAGCTTTATCCTAATTTGGATAACTCATTGGGTTATTTAAAACTTTTGGAATTTTCAGTTGTAAGTTGAGATAAATTTTCAAAGATACGATACAAAAGGGGAATGAATTCTGAAGCTTTTGAAAGTCATTAAAGTCGAGTTTACTAAGACTCAGCTTCACTATCTAATAGTTTTGTTGTTTTGTTTATTACCAGTCAGAGATAACTTGACATTGAGATGTCCTCTCACAGCGGCTGGCACTTCGCTGGATTTTAGATGGCTCTAAATGATGTTTTGCATTTTACATGGGTGGCTTGGAGCCTATCTGCAATGGAATCATAACATACACCATATGTAGCACGTATAGCTGCTTAGCATACATCTATCTCATGACTAGTGTTGTGACCATAAAAAGCATGTAGTGGGCCTGTGTACCCTAGGCACCTTGTCTGCATAACATCCCCTATGAGATAGTGATGTGTGGTCTGTTCTCTATCCCTCTGCCTTTGAGCTTTGACCTCAAATTCTGCCTTTTCTTCCTTGTAATTCCAGGAGGAAGATATCATCCAAGAAAGTCGTTTCTATTTCCATGGCTATGGCTTGGGCCACTGCCTGCAGGCAAGAGATAGAGGTCCAATGGAAGGTTCTGGCATTTATAGTCCCCAACCTCCAGCCCCTCTTCTAAGGGAAGGAGAAACCATGCGGAAACTCTACGTGGACCGAGCCAAGAGAATTGACACCATCTCCCGGGCTGTCTTCCCTTTCACTTTCCTCATCTTCAATATCTTCTACTGGGTTGTCTATAAAGTGCTACGGTCAGAAGATATCCACCAGGCTCTGTGAATAGGGTGGGAGCTAGAGAGTCCTGCTGCTGGCCTCCTGCTTCCTCCTGGGTGGGCTTTCTCCCTCAATTAGACTCCATTAGGGCTTGGACAGTTTCTTCCTGAGCTCCCACTCAGAACTTCAACTAGCAGTCCCAAAGCTATGTAGGCCTATACTGCATGGTGCCAATGGTGGCTGTACTTAAAAAGATGGCTTATCTACCCTAGTCCATATTTTCTCCATACTTTCCCATTTCTCATGAGACTAAGGTTTGGCCACATTCCTGGGGCCAGGATGACCTTCTTCTCTTGCTGGAGCCTCTCTGTTTTCCAATACTCCAGTGGAGAATATTCAGAACACTGCTACTAGATTCTGGCATTTGTCATCTTAATCTGCACCACTTCTCCCCCTGCTACCTCCCATCCAGAGCCTGGCCATTACTCTGTCCTCTGTCCCTCCTGCTGCAGATTCAAATGGGGAGTTTTTCCTGTCCACAAGTACCGCCCTGTGGGGCCCAGTCAGGTTTCCGCGCAGTGAGAGGAAGGCAAAGCCACAGGTTCCCCAGCTCTTGACAAGGTTGGAACAGTCATAGGCTGCACTGGGCTAGCGACTATATGGCCCAACAGAGAGGTGTTCAGCCCCAACAGAGAGGGGCTCTTGGGAAGCCCCACACTTTGTCTTTATCCCTTTTCCTATTGCGCTTGTCTGCTCTTTCCTGTTCACTGAGATATTCCTCTTGTCTGTCTCTTAGTTTTGAGGAGAGCATTCTGAGCTGACCAGGGTAGCTGGTCCAGAAATTACTGTCAGAATTGGGGTAGAGACTTTGGGCTCTCAAAAAGACTACCCTTCCAGGTCCACCAGAACATTCTGGTCTCAGAAATATTCGTTCCATTTCCTAATTAACTAGCATGGTGGCAGGGTCTGTTGGACAGCTGGGGAGTGTAAAAAGAGAAAAATACTTGTTCTTTAAGAAACTTACTTGATGATGCTAGAAAACTTTCGAGAAAAGTGAGCTCCAAGGTAGTGGAACCCAGGAGGAGTAGCATAGAGAAACTTTTCACAGAGTGTCTTTTGCTGGCTGGGCTTTCATTTGTTTCTTCTTTCTCTCCAAAGTCTCTATTTTCCAGGGCCCCTGATTTCCAACCTGGTCCTTCATCTCCTTTTGGTGAGTAAATGGTGCCACTGCAACCTTGTTAAGGATAGAATGGGCTTCAAGTTTCCTGGGGAGGAACTAGGCATGTAGAGGACCCCTATACTAGATCAACATTGATTTGACCAACATCAGGGTAGCAGTTGTAGAAGTTAAAGAGCCATAATTCAGAGTTGCTTCTTCACCCTTCTTGCTCCACAAAGAGAAGCAGTGAGTAGGTGTAGAAGTCAGTTGAAGCTACCAGAAATGCCAGAATGGAGAGGGTTGGTGTGGAAAAGCCCACTTCAGGCCTGACATACCACTGGGACATGCGGAAGCATGTGCCTGGCACACTGAGACCTTTGAAGTGACCAACTGTGAGCAACTGAAACAGGAGAGATTAAAGTATGGAACTGACACTGGAAGAAAGAAGTGATCAAATGATCTCTTAGACATCTTGTCCTTTTCCCTGAACCTAGAATAATTAAGCACATAAGTCCAATCTCTCTCTCTGCTTCTCTCTTTCTCTCTCTCTCCTTTTCTCTCTCTCTTTCTCCTTCCCTCCCTCCCTCCATATGGTGATCCAAATTGAAAGTCAATAAATCCAATGGTGAAAGCAAATCCTATAATCAAACCAACAGCTTGACTTTGTCTTTATCCGTTTTCCTATTGCGCTTGTCTGCTCTTTCCTGTTCACTGAGATAGTCCTCTTGCCTGTCTCTTAGTTTTGAGAAGAGCATTCTGAGCTGACCAGGGTAGCTGGTCCAGAAATTATTTTTATTGGCAGTATTATAACTCTGGTGCCAAGGATATTTAAAACAAAATAACTGGCATAAGGGAGCAGATTGAATTGAGAAGGGCAGAAAACTCCTATTTTCCTATTTCTGCCCAGGTAGTGCCAATCAATGAGAGGCCACAAGCAATACTCCTTTGAAAGGAGCAGAGAGCATCTCTTTGATACTCTCCATGGAGGGGCTGGGGTGTCAGGCTGCTGCAGCCCGAAGGCGGGGGTAGCAGGGAGGGTGAACTATGGAGATGAGCTTATTGCACAGAGCTCTACTTGTTATAGATCTTGTCCAGATGGGCCAACTGCACAAATCTGCCCTGTTGGAAGTCTCAAGAACAATGCCCTGGAGACAGCTACAGCACTGAGCAATAGAGCCTGCCCAACTGGGACTCAGATCAGGGCATCAGCTGGTACTGGGAGCCAAAGAAGCCAAAGTACCAACCAACATAATAACCCACAGGAGCACACAAAGCTAGTCAGAGGCAATGCCAGGTGGAAGGTGTTAATTCCTCCCCATCAGAACCCCCAAGAAGGGAAGGGAGATGCATGGTGTCAGAATCAGGTGCAAATGACTTTAATTTTCCTCACCCTTTCAACATATGTACAGGGGCTGGGAAATACTGGATCTCCCTAGGAGCATCTGTCACCTAGCAATCTCTCAATCATAGAATAAAAATTGGACCCTTCTTACCACAGTGAATCGGCAGGAGGTCACAGGAGGCTCACTTGGAGGTTACTTCCATTTATCATCATTCTTATAGTACTTACCCCTCCGGAGGCCACACTACCTTCTGCCTAGATCACATCTGAAGTGATGCTGAGATTTAAAACAGCATTTTTTAAAGGGGAAAAAATTCCTACATAAATAAAGTGTTTTGGGTGTTTTCATTAATTCATTTTTAATATTTAATGCCAGCTGAATATTTTATACATATATTTTTCCAGGGAAAGCGCTTTATTTATTCAGTTGTTGTTAAGGCTATCAGTGCCTCCATCTTCGCTTCGGTTTGCTCTGCTCTCTGGAAAACCAGTGGTCTGTCATCTTTTATTGCCTCATTCTACAACCACAGCCTCTTGTTCTCCCAGAATTCACAGGCAAAGCAAAAAGAGCTTTCTATGTGGAAGAAAGGTAGTGAAGAAAATTTATTCCTTTAGCTTTCTCCTATAAGCATTTGTCCCTACCTGTCACCAAAGAAGGGGCACACTTCTGGTTGAAAGGTTAACTTGACTCTTGAAGTTATTTTCTCTTTTCACTGGGCCATGCAACTATCTCAACTTTGTCCAGAACATATCACCTCCTGGGAATCTTACTGTGTGTTCCCACTTGCCTCTCTGCACTCTCAATGGAATATTATTATCTTATCATTTCTTGCTATCAAAATATTAAATTTGATTTCACTATGTTAGGATTAATGGTCTTCCTAGGCTATGCTGCTAATGAAAGACAAATCAACCAAGCATGGGAACCACCAGGGAATTAGGAAGCCAGGTAGCATTATCATCTGCTCAATGGAGGAAATGTAGAATAAGCTCTTTGACGGCAAGAACTGTATCTTATACAACTCTATTTTTATTTATTTTATTTTATTTTTTTGGTAAAGACAGGGTCTCACTATGTTGCCCAGGCTGGTCTTGAACTCCTGAGCTCAAGGGATCCTTCCACCTTGGCCTTCCAAAGTGCTGGGATTACATGGGTGAGCCACCATGCCTGACCATTATACAACTTTTTATCTCACATAGCTCCTGGTACCTAGCAACACTCAGTATGTACCAGTATGTACATGTAGAATGTACATGTAGTGTGACTTCCCATTTGGTTTACTGTATACCACATACATTCTCTTTCTGTGAACTTATTGGTCACAGAAAAAATAGACCTAGAAGAGATTTTATAAAATTGGATAGAGTTCACACACACACACATGCATGCATACATACCACACACACAAACTGCTCTTTGGGTGTAATAGAACCAAAGCTAAGAAGACAGCAGAACCTTGTAAATTGTATCCCTGAATTAAGAATGATAATGTTCTCAAGTGTACAACTTCCTAAACACACTGCACATACTCACTTCCCAAGGGTAAAGAGGGCACTGTGCATGCAGGCAGCCCACCCTAAGGGAAGAAACTTGGGAAAGCGACGCAAGACACCGGAAGTAGGCCAGCCTATAAAGTCCTAGGATCATGGTTAAACGGGGCACTTGTTCTTCAAATGACCCACTTGGATCTCTTCGAAGTGCGCTTTCCTTTCTTTCCTGCTCTAAAGCTTTTTAATAAACTTCCACTCCTGCTCTGAAAAGAAAAATAATATTCTGATTAAACATTAGTAATATTCCAAATCTGAAGACTAGTATCAAGCTATATTTCAAAAACCAATCACCCGATAAAAGCCCTGGCAGTGACAAGTGAGGATAATAGCAGGGATTTTGGCCTCTGCATGCTGCACACATTGTTCTCACTGGAAAGCCAGTCATCTCTGAGCAGATAGCAATTAAGCTGGTCTTCTCAGCTCATGCTCTTCGCTACATGATGATACTTCACAACGAGGATAATGCATATAGTCTATGAACGTGGGCTGGTGGTATCAGAACAGCTTGTTAGGAAATCCTAGAAAGGCATCTGAGCCAGGGACTTTCTCCTTCACAGAGCATTCTCTTCATGGAAGGATGATGAAGTAAATCTTACGTCAGGGAGCCACCTGAAGAAGTCACATGAGAACTCAGCTATTGTCACTCTGCATGTGTAGCTCTGTTTTTCTCAGTCTCTGCTTTTACCATGAGGCTTTCTACAAATATCCTGGTTGCACTATACCGTATGGGGCATTACCAAGGAAGCACATGCTCTCACTATCAATTTTATGGAATAGGGCAAATTCTTACCATCATCTAAATTCAGGGAACATTTAGCCTTACAGAGCTGGGTCGAGAAAAATACACACATATTCTCTATTTTAATAGCTTCTATTCATGACAGTGTAGTGATTACTGGTGGCTTTGGTACCAGACAGAGCCTGGGTTTGAATTACAATTCCAGCACTTACTAGATATGGGTTCTTGGACAAATGACTTCACCTCCCTCAGTCTCAGTTTCCTCCTCTAAAGGG